TCAAGAAATATTTATTCTGTTCATGGTAGATGGAGGCAGGATGAATCAGTCTCAGCCCTTAGTTCAAAGGAGAAAGTCGCATCTAACTTTACAAATGAGGTGATTAAAGCATAACTGACCTTAAGTTCGTAAACACTTATTTAAGTAGTGTCACTATTTGAAATGCACATTTTAAATTTTCCACTTTCATCATTGTTCTCTTTGCAGTATCTAAACTCTCTTGCAGGGTAATTACACACAATATGCTGCCACTATAGCAATAAGAAACTAAGATGTGAACTCTGCCTCCAGCCGCCCCCAACTAGCCTCTGTCAACTGTGCTGACCAGTCCCCATGGCAACTGGCACAGAACTAATTTTCCTGAAATGTGACCATCGCTTTTGGAAAAGAGTAGAAAAGAAAAAAAAATAACAGTTGTATTTGCTGTATGCGCTGTGAAAACACATCTTTCATATAGTGCCAGAGAACCCACGAGGCTTTGTCTTCTGTACAAATATGAGTGGCAGGCTCTTTTCTAGCCCTGAGCAAACGCTATGGTCCTCGTCATCCTCCTCCTCCTGACTCCACCGTGGGACTGCATTCTGTAGAAACAGTGTAAAAAAGACCACTGGCACTGAAATTGATTTGGCTTTAATTAACCATTGTACAATGATCCATGGCTTCTGCCAAACAGTCGGTGTGATTTACGATCCACTTGTGGTTGAATATGGGCACAGGAGGCAACTTCAGCTGAGCTTGTTCTGTTAAGAAAGAAAGTAGTTCAGGCTGAGTTTGCAATCCAGAATTTAATATGATATTTGAGACACCAAAATACAGGCATTTTGAAATTCTCTCTTTCTCCAAAATATAATATTCTCCACAAGGAGACTACACTCTCCTAAAGGATTTTAAATGTTATGGAACCTTTTTTATCCCTCTAGCCTTTCAAAGTAGATACTTAGTTACAATTATTTGCAGAACATGTTTTGAATTTGTTTTTTCAGAATTCTGGAACAAAATTTCAAAAAAGACCCTCATATTTATATGTATTCTCTGCCATGTAATCCAATTTAGTATGTTTGATTTAAAAGCAGCAGCATATGTTATTGATTAGTAAGTAAATAAATCGGTATGTGCATTTTTCTCTTGTCCTGTATGTGACCTGAAGTCATTCATGTGTTTTTGGTGCTTCTTTATTTGCACAAAAAAAGGTCTGCTCACTTTAGAACGCACTTTAGTTACCTTAAACTTAAGCCTTTTACAAAAGGGGACAAGTTTCTCTCTGAGTGCACCGTGAACGTTTGCGTGTCAGCCGTGGGATTGCCGCTCCTTGCAATCGCCACCAATTCCTGAACGTTCATTGTTCTGCAGCTGATTGAGATGGTTTCTCCTTTTAAGACTCGGTGAGGGAAAGGAGCGCAAATCACTGACTTAGCAATCCGCTCCCAACAAAATCTCCTCCCTCTTTCACTGTAACAGGCCAAAGATCGTGCTGCGCTTGCAAGTCTAACAGTCAATACTTTAAAAAGCCATGAAAAAGAGAGCAGCATTAGCATATCAAAGACCAACATCTGACAAGGGCCTGCCTGAACCTTCCATAAGTGGTGTGCACTGGGAGAAAAGGGTTTGACTGTACAGGAGGAAAGGTGGGAAAAGTCCAACAGTTGAAGATTACTGAGGGTTTTACTGTCACACAAGATGAGACCATCACAAGAGAGGGATTAGGAAGAATATTAGGGGGCAGATGTTGAAGATGAGAGCCCTCCTCTCTGCCTCGGGCTCTGATTAAACCCAGTATATAACACATGATTTTTTTCAGTGAGAAAGCACAAAGGTCAAAAGTATAGGTATGGTGGTCAGAAGAATAAATGGGAGGTATACAAGCCACGTTAAAAGCCAGAACTAACAGACGAGGAAGGAGTTCAGTGTCGGTGTCAAATCTCTCCTCTGGCTTCTGTCTGCTGTCAGTGAGGTGAAGACAGTAGAACAGCAAAAGAAAAATTTGAAAAAATTCGTCTTGGCAACAGTGCAGGACATAGTGTATTACAGTTGTATTTAATGAAAAAAAAGTGCTGCATTGATCATACTGTGGGGAATTCCTCCAAACATCCTGTAAAGCTAAAAGGCCAGGGAGCTCCCTGTGCTGGTCTGATTGAGGGTTTCCTGTTTTAAGTACTTAATGAGGAACTGGGGAAAAATCTAACTTCCAGGTCTCTTGACTTGGATGCTTTCCGGACAATAATAATGAAACAAAGCTTCTTTTTTCCAGGTTCTTCTGGATGATGTTACCAAACACCTGCTGTTGCTGTACATGTGCAGTTTTAAATTTTGTTCAGTAAGGGTCTTACATCAAAATGCAGAAAAGGAATGCAATAAAAAAAGAGATTTCTAATAATGGCAAAACCAGAGAGAGGAAAAATGACTCGGCTGCAGTTTCCCTACTTTGTCATTTTGGAGCCTTAAGACAAAGTAACACACAAATGAAATATAAAAATTTTACTTGGACACTTTCAGTTTCACTTGATATGCTTTCCTACAAGAAGATAGCATGCCATATTATATTCAATAAGCTGATTCTGTTCATCTGGATGTAGCATTTTCACATAGCTGAACCAATGGCCCAGTGATGTATCAGGATAGGATAACTAGTGTGCAAGCTGAGATCAGTTTTATGTAGGGAGAAATTAGAGACTAAACCTGTACCTGGACTTAAAGATGGTTGAAGTTAGGCATTTTAACATGGGGGTCAATTACACTTGGAGTCAGCCTCAAGTGGCCATTTGAGGAATTGCAGTTGTCAGTACTTCTAGTTTGGCCATCCATCCATCCCTTCATTCTTTCCACTTATCCTTATCAGGGCTAACACATTAGCCTTGTGTCAGAATATCTTTGATCAGATAATATTAATCTGAAACAGTAGACTGTCAATTTTAGTGACACATTAGTGAACGCAGTGCTCAAGAGTTTCTACAGATCATAATGTTGGACTCTTAGTACGCTTACCTGCCTCCAAATAAATGCTAATATATAGCTGCTGTTTAACAGACCACACCACTAAAGGTAATAAATGCTACTTTCAGCAATTCCCTTGTCTTAAATAGCACAGCAGGTTGCTCCAGCTGTTTGCTTTGGCAGAATTTTATAACCGATGCCCTTCATGACGCAAACACAAAGGGTTTTTGTGCATTGGGCTAGAATTTTATCAGGGACCTTCAAATTTCCAAGCAAATGCATTAACTGCCACACTATGGAACAAACTAACTTTGCACCAATGTTAACAATGTTTATTTTGTCAATAAATTGTAAGGCATGAAAGACCATAAACCACAAATAAACACTTAAAATCATTACATTTACAACTGTATTCAGTCAGTTTACTCCACAATAACATTTCATTAGTTCCTTTGAGTCAGCGTCAGCTTGAGGTCAACAAGCTAGAGGTCTTTTAAATAAAATCCCAGATTGACATGTAAAGGATATTGATTTTTTTCTTGAATTATGAGTAAAAATAATTTGAGAACTAAGACAGACCTTAAAGTCTTTACAATAGTTGTTTGTCTTGTATATGTCTGATGTTGGAGTGTTTTATCTTGTTGCTGTAGATTTTCACCTTCTTTACAATGAACTTTGGTTTATTGTAGAAGGCTCAATCCAATGAACAGTTCACAAGAAATGAAACTTACCCTTTCTCGCACTGCGCGCTGCTTGGCAGCTGCTTAACAGCAACAGTCTCATTGGCTTTTCTAGTTAATGATTTGCAAATTTAGGCCATGTAGCCTCCATGTGGTATTTACCAATGCGCTTATCTAATCTGTCTTTGCATATTAGCACTTCTCCATCTGAAATGTAAGCTAATAAGTTTCAGTACCAGTCAGAGTAAATTCGCTACCAGTCGTGCCCACCAGCTGACTGAAGAGGTGAAGCCATGGCACCAACACTGGTGAGTGATCCTCTCCTTGCTTTTACTATTACTTAAGTCCACATTTTTGTGACTACATTGGTATGTTGTGTGCTTTTACTTGGTCAAATTTTAATTATTTTTAGATATATGAAAATTCAGAATTTATGCTAACCTTTTTCTTTGCCACAGCAAAGAGATTCAAACAACTCTGATATATTATACATTATTACAATATCTGAAAATTACTAGGCGACTCATATTTTCACCTCGTTATGATTTTTGTTCTTCCTCTAGTCAGCTTTTACTAGCTCACTTGTCTGTTTATACTGAGTGCTGCCTTTTCTCATTATTTTCAGTTTGACAAAGAGCCAAAGCCAGGGGACCTTATCGAGATCTCTCGGGGGGCATATAAACACTGGGCTGTCTACATTGGAGGAAATGAAGTTGTTCATTTACTGCCTCCGAGTGAGTGTTACATTTTTGACTTGCACAAAACACACATTAACGTGCCCTACATAATTCACAGATGTTGCTTTAGTGTCTCTCTGACCTCCTTTTTCCTCTTCCAAAAAAAGCACATCCAGGTGGTGAGTTGGGATCCTTCGGTGAACTGCTGACGTTACTAGACAGCGGTAAGGCGCAGGTGAGGCGTCAGAAGATCTGGGAAGTTGTCGGCTCCAGCGAATTTGAGGTCAATAATCTTCTGGATAATGAGTACAGTCCTCGTGAGCCTCTTGCCATTGTGAGGGATGCCTGCAGGATGGTCGGTCGAGAGCTGCCTTACTGTATCGCTACTCAGAATTGTGAACACTTTGTCACAGAGCTACGTTATGGAAAGCCAGAGTCCCGACAGGTGAGGGATTTTTACCTAAAAGAAAAGTCTGTGAGATCAAATGGGTTGTGAATTCTCTTGTGTTAAGCTGAACATGGCTTAAACCAACAGTGAAGAGCAACAGTAACACTTTATTGCTGTTTCAGTGAGAAATGATTTTATCAAAGTGTTTGTCTGCACCTGCGCTGGATGTGTTTATCATCTAAGCGCCTCATTTATTGTAAAGATACAAAGATGTAACACAATCTATTATGAATGATTAGAAGCAGATGTGGTGCTGAATAAATTTTGATTATGTATCAAACGGCAGATTAGCTGATTTGCAAGTTCCAAAAAAAGCTTGCTTAGTCAACCCGTTTTGTCACCTTCGCTGCCATAAATAGCTCTCTGAGATGCATTAAAAAAAACTTCTTTTTCATAGTGTTCAATCAGAAAATGCAACATGGCAGCCGCTCAATTTTTAATGAATGTAAACATGGTCATTATTTTTTATTTTGTTTTTACTGTCTATTATTGCAGCCTTGTGGAAGTCAGCACTGAAATACAACCTCAACAACAATGCAATAACTGCTTTCCCTCCAACAACCAGCACAACTGCTTTTCTCTTTATTGTGTTTTTTTCCATAGGTTCAAACAGCAGCTGTGATTGGAGGCGTCGCGGTGGCAGGTGTAGCCGCTGCAATTTTGGGTGCCGCGCTGTTTTCCTCCTTCAACAAGGACGAAAACAAAAGAAGAAGAAATTATAGGTGATTGCAGTGACTGATATCATTAATATCAGTAAAAAGGAAGGAAATAGTTTGTTGGTGTAACAAGGTCAGCAGAAACAATAAGTTAATCACAGTGAGGATTTCTAGGATTAAAGATATTTTTGGAATTGTGGGTGATTTTAGAACACTTAAATTTGTACTGCCTAAATTCTAAATAAAGATTTGGAAATTTGAAATTAGGCTTTTTGACCATATCACCGTACAGACAAATATACAATCTAATGCTTTGGATGTTTTTTTGCAATGTAGGAGCTCAGAGCACTGGGCCAGGCCAGTAAAGCTATCCGGTTGTTCAGTGATGACGCGACGAATCCTACTTCCGGGTCTAAAGTAGTCTGCGTTTAATATGGCTTTTGTGTTGTTAACATGTTTAATGTT